TCCTATCTGAGACACACACACGTCACGCGTGACCTTTAACCCCACAAAAGCAATAAAACACGTACAAAGAGGTTCAGGCCTGAACGCATTGATTTTTTTTTGCTGGAATCCCAAAGTGCTAAATGGTTTTGAGTTTCTGGATTCACCCAAGAGTGAAACGCAATTCGCCCGGAGATGTTTCGAGAGCTACATATTGGTTGACATTTCATTTGTCATGTACAGTAACCTTGGTCGATTAATGCAAAATGTGAGAACGACGGCGGTGACATTTACGGGTACCTGAGCACACACGCCATTAAATCCCAGCAGCCGTTCGTTTCAATATGTCGTCAAATATTCAGAGGTGTTAGAAAACAAAACCCCAGACCAGACACAACACATCGACGGTTCTTGTTATCGAATCTCCGTTGTTCGCCGTCTCTGACATTTCCCCTGACTGCAGCCGTGTGTTCACACATTAGAGCGTCCGGTCAACCAGAAAACAGCCACCAGAGATACACACGATACTATTGTAGCTAAGCTAGCTTATTTGGGCAGGCTGGCTGAAGTTACAACTCTAAAATTTGAGTAACGGATACAGAACAACAACTTTTTGATGTTAAAAGCGTTTAAAGTCATAATGTATCTAGAACTTGACTGGATTTTCTGAGGAAATTTGAGGTGTTCTTAGTGATTTTAGCATGATTTGCGAACACCACTAAACAGAACCATGATAATATTGTGGTTTTTCAGACATGCAGACATTTAGTTTTCAAATAAGTCTGAAGAACTTGATTAGTTGGATCAAGTCTAAAGTCAGCAGGGCTCCGGCCCTCCAGGAATTGAGTTTGACACCCCTGCTGTAGATTAATATGATTTTTAAACAAGATAACATTTTCATTTAAATATAAGTAGAAGTTTATATTATGAAATGTAATTTAAAAAATATGTAGAAATTTAATCTCACAGATTTTAAAGTACCATGTAAAGGTATGAAAAGTACAAAAATATTACCATCTTATATGGTCACTGTTCCTTAATACTGCCTTAGTACTATTTTGTACGAGATTTTCTGAACAACTGTCTTTGGTTTTGTTCATAGCACCATCTGACAGGCCTGTGTTATATCATTCATCATGTTTTGTCTGAATATATTCCATGTTTCTGTGTGTGATATATGAGCTATCATGCGTAAAGGAAACACTATTAATGTGTGTTCCATTCAGACGCTGCTGTAATGAATCACTTTCACTCTGCGTTGTCTCAAAGTAACAACAAAGCACTTTCACAACTCACACAATTAATCAGGGCCACAGTGTGTGTTTGTAATTGTCTGGATTTATCTCTGCCATAGACGGATACAGAACAACAACTTTTTGATGTTAAAAGCGTTTAAAGTCATAATGTATCTAGAACTTGACTGGATTTTCTGAGGAAATTTGAGGTGTTCTTAGTGATTTTAGCATGATTTGCGAACACCACTAAACAGAACCATGATAATATTGTGGTTTTTCAGACATGCAGACATTTCGTTTTCAAATAAGTCTGAAGAACTTGATTAGTTGGATCAAGTCTAAAGTCAGCAGGGCTCCGGCCCTCCAGGAATTGAGTTTGACACCCCTGCTGTAGATTAATATGATTTTTAAACAAGATAACATTTTCATTTAAATATAAGTAGAAGTTTATATTATGAAATGTAATTTTAAAAATATGTAGAAATTTAATCTCACAGATTTTACCAGAAGTACCATGTAAAGGTATGAAAAGTACAAAAATATTACCATCTTATATGGTCACTGTTCCTTAATACTGCCTTAGTACTATTTTGTACGAGATTTTCTGAACAACTGTCTTTGGTTTTGTTCATAGCACCATCTGACAGGCCTGTGTTATATCATTCATCATGTTTTGTCTGAATATATTCCATGTTTCTGTGTGTGATATATGAGCTATCATGCGTAAAGGAAACACTATTAATGTGTGTTCCATTCAGACGCTGCTGTAATGAATCACTTTCACTCTGCGTTGTCTCAAAGTAACAACAAAGCACTTTCACAACTCACACAATTAATCAGGGCCACAGTGTGTGTTTGTAATTGTCTGGATTTATCTCTGCCATAGTGGTCTGTCAGAAGCGAAAATACCGCCTGATGCTCTTGACAGTAAAAAAGTGTGTGTGTGTTTAGTCTGCATTCACACAAAGACAAGATGATGGCAAGGAGAAAAGAGTGAAAATTCCGGCCTTGACTGAAGCTTGTCGATGTGGCATCTCTGTACCTGAACCACAGCTTTCATATTCAGTTGAATACTGTTCACATGAAGATTATTTGATGCCATATTTGTCTCAGGGAAGCCTCATTCATTGTTTTGAATTGCGTAAATGTATATAAGCACTCCACTTTGCATCAGTGTGAGTTAATGTATGCAATATAAAAATAAAATAAGCGAAATAATGCCCATATTTTGGCTCAAAAGGAGTAAAATGAAGCCAGATAGCTCTGAGCTGTAGTCCTGTGGGGTTTATGAATGGAGGCTCTGGAAAGGGCTGGGTGAAGGTCATCTGAAGGTCATTTCCTTCCGCAGGGGGAAGTGACCCGAAACTGCGTGAATGAATTTGAGGAACACACAGGAAGAGATCCGATGCCCAAGGCAAAGTCACACATACTCGGAATGTAATAAGGAATGAGTCATTAGGAATGAGACAATAAATCTCAACTGCACGAAAAAATATCTACCGGCTTTATGAATATCATATCATATTTCAAAAAAATTACATTTAAAAAAAGTCAAATTAAAATATCAACATTTTATATATATATATATATATATATATATATATAAATATAAAAAAAAAAGAGAAAAAGATTTCATATCAAAAAGATCCGTTTTCATTTAATTTTTTCATTTATTTTTAAGGGAAAAAAATATATAATTCAATAAATATTATGCCAACATCAACAAAAACAGACATACATGGAACTCAACACACAGAAGGCATTAAAAAAAAGTTACAGACATCCTACATTAGGAAACATTTTGTTTTTGTTTTTTAACAGCACCGACACATTTCTCAACATTTACACACACCAAAATTGTTTAATACTGCCTATGTGTAAACAAATTGGGTGACACAGTCAAGGAAATTCTCTCTGACCCATTAAAAACAATAAAAACTAATGTAAAAACGACAGTTTTTGTTTGTTTTGCACAAGTTTTAACGAAAAGTGCAACTACAAACATGCAGCAAAAGAGACTTTGCAGCTAGCTTCAAGCTTCTGAAGGTTTTGTTTTGAGAAAATTTAGCACTACAAAGGTGAGACTCATTTTTCCCATGGCTCTGTTGAGTCGCAACAAATTTTTGTTTTGAATGAGAAAGTATGTGCATTAATAATTTTTCTCAATCCTCACGCATGTGTCAGAAGCAGACTGCATAGTTTAGTAGAAAGAGGAGCGAATTCGTTTCTTGTTTTTTCTTTCCTGGACTGGGCAGACAGAAGTGCAGATTTAATATGACCTTGAATTTGATGTTTGATTGTTTATTCATTATTTCAACAATTGTGCTTAAACAAAATTTCACAGATGTCAGAAAAGGCACAAATGTTGATGAAACATTTTACTGATAATAATGATTTACAATGAAAGGCTAGTTTTGTGCTATTTTAATAGTGTTAAACAATCATTTGTTACTCCAGTAGTGGTGCTATTCTAATGCGCAATTCACACTCACAGAAATTAAATCACTGGGTGTCACCAACTTGCTATACTCTTGGTTTCTAATAGTTTGCTCATATTAGGGATCGGTCACAATGATCAGTTGTCTGAAAACGGACTGGTTGTTTAGTAAGTTTAATTAGTTTAGCTAGATTTTGTCTGAAATATGTTACATTCATGATATTTTTAGAAGTAGTGCTTAAATTAACATGCTAACAGTGTACTGTGCTTTAGCGGTTAGCCAGATACAACTACACCAAGACATCTTTGGCCATTACGTAGCATCTTGCACTGTTTTTTAAGGGTCCCACCAAGTGCCGATCCTAGACTTCTGGGGGCCCTACGCAAAAAGTGGGGTATGAGTGGTTATGAACGAATGAATGAAACGCATTTGTCCGTGTTTCACTCAGTCTCGAATCGCGCTCACCGCAAGCACTTGAGAAACAGTGTCCCTTCCGCGGCTCGGTACGCTTTCAACTTGTTTTTTTTTTAGTCTTGAACAAGACTGTACGACATTCACGTTACATGATTTGACAGATTTTTACGTAGAAAGAGTGACAGCACCCTGCATTAAAAGAAATGATCATTCATGTATTCATAACCGCTGGCCAAATTCAAAAAATTCCCTGGTGTTTCGGGGGCCCTACGCAGCTTGCGTATTTTGCGTATAGGGAGGATCAGCTCTGGTCCCACCCTAAGTATTTTTCCAGATTTGAATAAAGTTGAACTCTAAACAGTCTGGCCTCAAATCACCAGCCCTCATTGCAAATTAATGACTTCCAGATGCTTTGTCAGTGTGAATGCCCCTTCAGGGATAAACCAAATGCAAATGAATACTAAATGGTCAGGTCAATTCTCAAAGGTCGTATTTGCACTTCCATATACCCGGTCTATAAAGACAAGCAGAAACATGTTCTTATAGAACCGTGAAAGAAATTCTCATTGATCCACCAAAACCCTCAAATACATATCAATCACGCACTTCAGAATGTCAAACATTGAGTCATTCGACTTGAAAACCTTCCAGTTCTTTGTTTTTTCTTTTTCTGAATCTTAATGAACCATAAAGTGATTGAGGAGTTATACAGAAAACGGTGCGATTTCAAATATACCAGCGGTGTATCCATGGTGACAGTTTTAGCTGAGCTTAGCATAAGAAAAAGAAAACCACGCACACACACAAACTCGTGCTTTTGGTCTACAGAAGGAACAAAACAGGCCAAGGAGGATCGAAGGAGGAAGTGATCCATAACCACAGGGATACACTCTCATTTCATATCCTCGTTTAGCTGTACAGACTCAAAAAGAAAGAAACGAGAGTTGTCCTTATCCAAAATTTCGCCATTTTGGAAGTCATCTTCCCCTTCACTGTTCCGTCATATGACTGTTAATACCAACCATAACGTGCATCTTTTAAAAATAGCTGTGAGGCAAAGCTCAGCGGAACTCTGGACTCAATGGTTATGTGATTCTACTTCCTCCTTCCTTTCCTGCAGGAGAAGCTTCCAGAAGGAATCCTCCAGAGAGGAAGCAGCTTCACGTCCAGGAGCAGGAAGGAAGGCCTCCCATTGGCCGAGAGGGTGGTGACATCCTCCTGCTGAGTGGATAAGTTTAGGAGAGGTGGTTGGGGCCTTAATATGGGTTTCCGTCCACAAGCTTGTCGAGTTCTGGCAACAAGAAGTGCGTCCCTCAAACCGGAGAGACCTTCAGGGACATCGAGCAAACACTCCCGCTCTCCACTTTTGCTTTGTCTTTGGAGACAATTCCAGACCTTTCTTGCTTCCACAGTCCACCCTCATCGCTTCCCAGAATTAATCTTTCCCCCCGAACTCCTTGCATTACATTACCGTGCAACTCTTTGCTTTGTCTTTGCGTAGGTCTGTTGCCACGGCAGCTAGGTCTGGTCGACTGGGCATATGTGAGATGCGTTTGGTGGAGCGTGCAGATTTGTTGCGCTTGATGTTTTTGTTGTTCTTATTTACGCAAGCCAATGTTGCGACATGGAAAATGTCCCGCACGCTGTTTTCTGACTGCACTGCGGAGCATTCGATATAAGGTGCGGATATCTGCTTAGCCATAGCTGAACCCTAAAAGAAAAAGAGAGGATTATGAGCTTTGATATGAAACAAAACCAGCAATTAGCAGTAAAATCACAATTAGCAGTCTAATTGTTATGATTACCGCTTGCAATTTCATCAACATTAAGTTTAGCTTTGTGCTCAGGAAGATTTTACTCTTTATCACTCAGACATTTAAAGCCTCGTACACGTTTATCGCCGACGTTTTTCGACGCGTCTTTTGTGTTCATACCCAAGCGATGTTCGCAGGCGATGAGCCGAGATTAACGCGGCGCGTCAAATAAAAAAAACGAGCCCAAGACGTTTTTTAAAAAATGACGCTTTTACGCCTCGCGTTTTGCGTGTCGGTGTGCACACTCACATTGGCGCCCTTTGTTTAGTCACGAGGCGTTAAATGTCGGCGATAAACGCACGCAATATTCGTCCCGGTGTGAACAAGCCTTAATGCATGGATTAGATTAGTAACCTAAACCATTGCAATGTTGCCAAACTGCCCTTGCTGATAAACGTAATTACTGGTAAAGTAATAAGATTGGTGTTAGATATCAAGCCAAATCTGAAGTTGAGTGTCTCAGTGGCATCCAACCAAATTGCAAAAGGAGTTTATGAGAACCGCTCACCTGATCATATGACACCGGTGTCTGTCTGTGATTAGACAGCTCCACCAAAGTTGTAAGGTCCGTTCTAAGGTCTGACTTGCATCCGACGAGCAGCATCTTTGTGTTGGGACAGAATTCCTGGATTTCCCCTTTCCACTGTGAAAGAAAGAGACAAAACCAACAGGGAAAGATAAAACCATTTGGCCTTGATCCATCCCTGTCTGAGAGACGACAAAAGACTAGAACAAGTGTTTCCTGTTCCCATTTTCTAAGCATATCACGTTCCATCCCATCCCTTTTTTCACAAGAGTATTAATCTTCCTTGCTACAGGTGAGGGACATGCTTCCTGCGAGGATAAAGCCTGCACTGTAATGACTGCTTTTCAGGGTGTGTATCTGTGTGTGCATCTTCCCAACAATGCTACAGGTGATCTGCATTCCTCTCCTTCCCAAACAAAGCATTTTCTGTGTTGGTGTGGCATAGAATCACCAGAGTTAATCTGGCGGGAGACAGGCGGGTACAACACAGTCATACGATTGTTCACAGGAACACGGACACCCTACATTCCCATGATCCTTTTGTGCTCACCTCTGGCTCCTAGAGGCCGCAAAGTCCCGGAAGACAACACTAGCTTATTCCACCAGGTACCCACATGTAGCCTGATTGTATTTCTGATTCTGCGACCTAGATCTCAACCGTTTTAAGACAAACCACCCGGCTGAACTTCCACTCACATGGTCTAGCTAATGCCAGCATGATACTATCAAACCAGGGGCCCACCCTGACCAAGTGAACCAGAGCCACAGGCCATTCCAGACACCTGACCCCAGACTGAAAGTCTACAAGAAGATATCCAAGCCTACTGAACAAAGGATGACTTTATTGGAATGCTACAAAGAGTGGGCAAATCACAATGAAGTTGTAGAAGAATTTCTCTGAATCACAGGCAATGCATTTAAAAGTCAATTAGACTGTCAAGAACCAGAAAGGTCAAGCCTACAGTTTGATATCCAAGAAACTCCCAAAATTTTGTGCACCACACCCAATGTATTCTGCCCCCAGATGTCAACTGCTTAGACAATAATTTTCTTTATTAATTTCCTTTATCAACAATTTAAAATGAAGGTGTCTCCGATCATGATTCTCAAGAGGTCATTTTGGAGCCCTAAAATTTGATTGGTTGATGGGAATGTTCTTCAAGACCCCTATCCCAGTCCTAAAATCTGATTGGTTGATAGGAATGTTGTTCAAGACCCCAACTCCAGTCCTAAAATCTGATTGTGTGATAGGAATATAATTCCAGGAACAACAGTGGATGTTAATATAGGAATATCCTACTTGTTAAGCTCACATTAAGTGTGTCAAATCAATTATTACAGGTTGGAAAAAATGTTCACCTTCTTTAGGACACTGTCCAGGGTCTCTGGTCTGCTGATGTCAAAGCATATGATGACGGCGTCGGAGTCTGGATATGAAAGCGGCCTGACGTTGTCATAATACGGGGAGCCTGTGACACAAAAAGGTGGATTGGTCAGGAAGAACAAAGTTCACTTAAACACAAGCATGCACAAAAAACTAGACAAGGATAGTGGGACTGTCTGGAGGGCCGTCAATATATTACTTAACCTCATTTAACTTTCACTCAGTGACGCAGTACAGACAGTAATTTGAAAGCATTCATGAATTTTTCAACCATCAGTGCACTGAAGCCCCTTTTCAGACATACTAAACATGAAACTTTTATCCATAAATGCACACTTTTGCTTTCAGAAGGAATAAAGCCTTTAAATAGGTTTTTACTTATAAAAAAATCCCAGCACACAGAACACTTCCAGTTCTTTGTCACTGTTGCAATGCTAAATAATGATTTATAAGTGATTTACACAAGCACAAGATAATACTTCAAATCCCTTACTCAAATAAAAATACTGATGCTTGCCTTAGTAAACACACTACTAATAACTAGACCCTTGCCAGATGTAGCATTTCCCTCCTGGCTAAAACTCTGGAGATGTCTTTCTTTGTGAGGACGGTATAGTCCAGGATTTACTCTGACAGAACGAAGCATTCCCGCCCACCGCTGACTCTGCCAGACACGCTATGTACAATCCACACAGGACAAACACATTTATAATGTGCCAGATTCCAGGACCGAGGTGGTGTTTATGAGAGACGGAGAGAGACAGAGAGAGACAGAGGGAAAGGAGGGCTGTTTAGTTTGACAGAATGATAATTCCCAGTGCCAGAAGTTAAGTGGAAAAATGTGAAGTTGAAAACACATGCAGCCACAGGACTTTACAGCTCACATTCCAACCACAGCTACAGGCCAAAAAACAAGAACAACTCGGACAACAACGTTTCACGAGAGGTTTGATAGGTTTTTTTTTTATTTATTTTTTTTACAGTTAATCATTTAATCTCTAATTTGTAATGTCAATAAGTAACTACATCTGTATGTAGATCTAATTATCAAACTTATTTTGAGTTCACAGCGTTTGAATAAAGTTTGTTATTTTAGTGTAGATATTGAAAGGTGATGTATGTTAGTGTAAATATACTTTTGTTATGAAAGGTTATGTGGAAAAAATATACAAAAAGTAACATTTTGTTGTTAGTGTGGTATTCAGCTTCTTCTGAGAGACACACAACAGATGCCCACACACACACGCACACACACGCATAGATGAATATACACACTCTCTATGGCAACCCCCACCCCACCACACACAGTTTTCTCTCTAAAGCTTTCATTAAACACATTATTTTGTTTCTCTGTCTAATGCATGCATACTAAACGCAAATCCTGCTGTGTGTGTGTGTGTGTGTGGTTGTACAGTATTTGTGTAAATAATAGCCAACTAGAATGACACACACACACACACACACACACTTGTGGAACACCATAGCTATCACAACACACCATAATGTGTGAAGGATACCGACAGCCGATGGATTCCTCGAGTGTTTAAATGCTTCTCTAAAGATGTGGTGACCATGTAAAAGCACACATACAGTAAAGAATTCTTTGCCATTGGTGTTTTTGGCTTGGATCCCTCAGTGTCTTCCTAATCTACATCAAAATAAAGCAATAAACAGACAAAATTCTCAGCAAAGTACATTTAACCCCTAAGCTAAAATCCCTTGATGCTAATTCATGCTTTGAAAAATTGCTAGCACACCATTACAAACTTTATGAAAGTCTTTTCGAACTCTACATCAGTACATGAGTTCCTCCTGAGTTGAATTTGCTCCTTGGCTAACAAGGTAAGAATAATTTTAGAGAACATAACGGTTCACATGGCGCTTTTTTTCCCTGGCAGCCTACCGCACAATAGCTGCTTTGTGGAGTACGAGAGCAAACCTTTCCTGAAAGGAATGTGAGGCATGCAGGCCCAAATCATCAAGGTTAGAAATATGATCCAGCCGACAATAGTTGACCAGCTTTGAGGAGTGGGTTTGAGAGAGCCTGTCCCAGCAGGAGCCCATTGAAATGATCCCGGGAACGTTTTGTTTTCGGGGGTCAGCTGATAATGAGGTCTACCCTTGCTGATAATAGTCAAGGGTTGGATTAAGGAGGTTACATAGCAACATCGTAGATCAGGACTTTGAAGAGACATGCAATAGCAGAATGATACTTATTTACAAATTAACAGTGAAAAGGATTATGTTTTTGAATGTACAAACAAGATTAAGAAGTCATGTATTAGCAAACACTTTACATAGATTAATTTATAATTTAACCTCAAATGCTGAAGATTTCTCTTTATTTGAGCTTTCAAGGCAATGTGAAATAAATTAATAATAAATAATAATAATAAATTAAAATTAATAAATGTACCTGGTGTAACTATGCATATTTGTTTTCATCTTTAATCTAAATAAAACTAGATTTGACATATTGCAAAGAAGAGTGGTACTCGTGAGCGTGTGGCGGCGCCGGCGCTGACCCAGATCGTGAACGCGCATACACAAGTGACGCAGTAGAGACGAAAATGTGGAATAAAGTTGTTATTTTTGTTTTCTTTGCGCAAAAAAGTATTCTCGTAGCTTCGTAACTTAACTGTTGAACCACTGATGTCACACGGACTACTTTGTCAATCATGGTACTTTTCTGGACCTTGAACGTGGTAGTTACCTTGCTGTCTATGGGAGGGTCAGAGAGCCCTCATATTTCATAAAAAATATCTTAAATTGTGTTCCGAAGATGAACGAAGGTCTTACGGCTCATTTTTGGGTGAACTAACCCTTTAAAACTAAAGGCAAACATTTATGCTGATAGACAAATGTATTGTACA